GGCTGCCGCCAGCAGTAGTAGCAGTACTAGCGCCGCCACCCCTACAACCCCAACCAGCGTACCACTCACGCAGCTGCTGGGGCGTGAGGGACTCACGCGGACGTCGCTGGGGCTGCATCTGGCTCCGCCAGTAGAAGTAGGAGCAGGAGCAGCAGCAGTAAGGCAGGCAGCCAGGCAGGCCGAAAGGCACGCATGCAGGCAAGCAGGCGACGGGCAGCGCGGTAGCAGGGCAGGGGCTCACCAGTGGTGGGAAGAGCAGGCTCGGCGACTCGGCGACTCGGCGGTGCGGGCGGCTCGGGTGGCTCGACGGCACGGCGGCTTGGCAGCACGGCGGCTCGGCAGCACGGCGGCTCGGCAGCAATTGCGGCTCTGCGGCTCGGGCGGCTCGGCGGCAACTGCGGCTCAGCGGCAACTGCAGCTCGGCGGCTCGGCGACCCGGCGGCTCGCGCGGCTCAGGTGGCGCTGCGGCTCGGGCGGCTCGGTAACAGGTCGGCGGCGCCGGCGGCTCGGTGGTGACGGCGGGGCCGCTAGGGGACGGCGGCGGGGCCGGGTGGAGCGGTGACGGGGCCAGCAGAGGCGAAGGGGCCGCAGCGAAGGGCGGCAGGGCCGCAGCGAAGGGCGGCGGGGCCGCAGCGAAGGGCGGTGGGGCCGCAGCTAAGGGTGGCGGGGCCGCACCGAAGAGCGGCGGGGCCGCAGCGAAGGGTGGCGGGGCCGCAGCGAAGGGCGGCGGGGCCGCAGCGAAGGGCGGCGGGGCCGCAGCAAAGGGCGGTGGGGCCGCAGCTAAGGGTGGCGGGGCCGCAGCGAAGGGCGGCGGGGCCGCAGCGAAGGGTGGCGGGCCTACCCGCCTCTGCAACCACTGCTCCCGCTCCCCGGCCTCTACACTCCTGCCAGGTCGTCGTCAAGCACCTGCCAGAGGTCCCCGCGGCTAGGCTCCCAGGGATCCAACGGTGCTTGAGGGTACGCCGCTTCCGCTGCCATGTTTGATTTGTTGAGGAAGGAGATGGCCTGGGAGCGCTGCAGCATCACCGACCAGCGCTGCCGGTAGTGTGCGTTGAGCCTGGATGCTGTGGTAGTGAGCGGCCCCTGTCTGAACTTTTTCTTAGCAATTGCCACGGCCAGCAGACGGAGGAACTGGACCGTGTCTGCCGCCAGTGCCCCATACGTTTCAACCGCCAGCCCCAGGAACCCCACATAGTCCGGGTGGCCCTCGTAGAGGCGGTGTTTCCTCTCAGAGGCCTCCTTGGCTGCCCACCCTGGCGGCTTCCGAACCCTTGGGTCCCGCTTCTGAAGCACCGGGTCCGTCACTGTGACGTCAATGACCCAGGTCTCTGCAGATTCCCGGTCCTGGAAGGCCAAGTCCGCGCGCTTGCGGAGGACGGGGGGTGAGAAAGCCGCGGTCTCGTGGAAAGTGTTGAACCCCGCCTCCCGTGCCATTCGCAGGGCCGCATAAACCAAAGCGTTGTGTGTCCGTACCACATCCCCTCCCTCTCCATACCGTAGCAGATGGTTAGCTAGGCTAGTGTCGTCGATGTCGGAGTTGTCCTTCTTGCAGGGGCACTTGACTGTAACGGGCATAGCCATACCGAGGCGGAACCCGAGTGCTAACGAGAACTGACCAGGGGCAAATGTAAGGTCAGATCTCGTTGGCACCGCGTGAAGCCAATCCCCCGCCCCCACTCCCCTCAAACTGACTAGCCTGACCCCATGCCCCTGATCCTCTCCCGGCCTATCCACCATCGTGTCTGCTAGCAGCTCTCTTGCCCTAACCATGTTGATGTGCTTGGAGAGCAGCAGCTGCAAGTTCCCTTGCTCCTGCGGCCCTTCCCTGTAGCTTTGCAGAGCCGCCTTCGCCTCCAACGGTAGTTCCTCCTCCAGCGCCGCAATCACGTGTCGAGCGTCGCCCCTTCTGCCGCCTGTTTTGGCGCCCCGAGAGGCCGTGCGTCGCCCCCCCCCCCCCCCCCCCCCCCCCCCCCCCCCCCCCCCCCCCCCCGTAACCTCCCTCTGCCCTCTGTTAGGGTTTGGGGGTGGCGGGTGTGTGGTCTCCCCTGCTCCTCCTCTTCCTCTATCTCCCACTGCTGCAGCTGCCGCTGAGGGGGGTGGGTGTGTGGGAGTCGACGGAGTGGTGCTAGGGGATGGGGTGTGAGTGAACCTAGGGTGCAGCAGGGGATGTGTGAAAAGGGGGGTGACGTGGGAGTGGAGCTAGGGGTGCAGCAAGGAGTGTGTGAAAGGGGGGTGGGACAGTTGAGGGAGGTTGAACGGAGGCTGTCGTCATGTCGTCAGCAGCACCAGTAGTCCGGGGTGCTGCTCCGGTAGCCTAGTCGTAGCCAGCTGCGCCAGTCGCCCGTGGGTCCGTTGCTCCTGCCGCTCGTCTTAGCCGCGGAGCCAGTTACTCCAGTAGTCCGGGGCGCTGTTCCGGTAGCCGCTGTGCCAGTGTGACTCCTGTTGCCCGTGTGTCTACAGCTTCAGCCGTCGCCTCCTATCTCCTCTCCTCTTACAGTCTTGCCTCCTCCTCCTCACTTGCCCTTTGTGAATGCCTCTAGCTTTGCTTGTCCTTATGATCCTGCTCTATGCCTGCTTGCTCATTGTGCTGATTACACCCCACTTTGGCTATGGGGCTGTGTCAAAATGTTATAATTGTCTAGCCTGCAGTGGGGTACTCTATAGGGAGTACAACCCAATTAGGGTTTCCTATATGTATCCCAACTGCTGCTAGTGCAACCTCTCTCTTCTTCATTCCTCATTTCTTCACATCACGTTCACCGCTGGCGGGGGAGGAGCCCATTCCCTGGAGAGTATGGTCTCCACGTGGGCAAGGAGATCCGAATCGGGCAGGTGCATCTACTTCAGCAGTTGATGGGCAGCCGTCAGCGAATCAATGTATGCGGCCGGGGCCTCAGAGATTGGGTCAATGATGCTCAGGCCGCCAAGGCGTATGGGCAGTGTCGCCTGCCACCACAGGAGGCTCTGCTCGAGTTCGCTTGAGGGGATTCTGAGCTTGGCCGACGCGAGCGCCGCCCCCAGCAGTGACTCGCTCCACGCCCTCCACTCTTCCCGCTCAAGTGTACAACTCGGGGTTGTGCGGAGCAGGTATGCGATCCTGCGTGAGATGCTGCGACTGAGCAGGAGCAGAGCGTGCTGGGGGTGAAGCTGTGCAATCAAGGGGACCGGAGCTGCTGCCTTGGTTAACGCCTGTTGGACTTGAGCGGTACAGTAGGCTGGGGTGCCAATTGGGCTGCCAAGTACTTTGATGCCGTCTGGGCTCACTACTAGGCCGTGCGGCGGTTCCTCCAGTCCCTCCCCGTGCCCCTCCGGTCCCCACGCCGAGGATTTCGCGATGTTGCAACGAAGCCCGCACTTCGCAAGCTCCGTGACGATGACGTCAAAAGCCTGGAAGGCCACCTCGCGCGGCCCCACCACGGTAATGTTGTCAGCGTAGGCTATGACTGCCGCTCCCAGGTGAGTTGATGCCGCATACGTCAGAATCGGTTGAATCGCCGCCGCAAAGAGGAGGGGACCAAGGGGATCGCCTTGGCGGACACCTCTGGAACTCATGATATGATCCACGCCTAGTGCTGGGTTGACCAAGAGTCGCGAGGGCGAGTCGTAGAGCGTCCCCACGAGCGGCAAAAGCTGATGCAGGTCAGAGATCTGGAGTGCTGAGAAGAAGGCCTCCCGCTCGACCGAGTTGAAAGCGTTCTCGACGTCGAGCTGTAGTGCTACATGGTGCTCATTTTCACGAAGCAGGGCGCGCACTGTGTGTATGACACACTCCACCCCACCAGGCACAGAGAAGCCACACTGGACGGGGAGAAAGAATTCCCGTATCGCCGGCGCCAGTTCTCGCAGTGCTGCTTTAGCGGCCACCCTAAGCAATGCTTCCCCAATCGCTATCGGTCTGACGCCGCCTCCTGGCTTTTCCAAGGCTATCAGCCGGGACGGCAGGATTAGGTTACGAACAGCCTGTGTTTGTTCGCTGTTGAGCAGCTGGCGGATAATCTTCGTGAGGAGCAGCAGGACCTCCTCGCTGCAGTGAGCGGGGTCTTTGAGATGCTCGAAGCAAGTACCAGATGGCCCAGCCCCCACTCCATTTGGACATTTCGCGAGGACTTCGCGGACATCGTCAGGGGTCACAGACACTGACGAAATTGACGAGCCTGCCCTGCTGGTAACCCAGCTTGGGATAGGTTTCTCGCCCATGGGGTGTTTCGACTTTAGTGCCGCAAGTGTGGTCGGTGTAGATTCCGCTAACGGGGTCACTTGTAGCGCAGCCACGGCCTTGGAAATGTTTGCGTTTTTAATCAACCCCTCGGCCCTTGCACAGAGCCCAGCGTCATCAGGCTGGTGGCGTGTCGGGGCTTCAGTAACGGGTACAGCGCAGGCCTCACTGTAGAGGTCTGCAAGGTCTCCAAGCCTGAAGTGATGTAGCCGTGTCTCAATTTTGATCCATCGGTTGCCTTCCACTGGCTCTGGTTGTGGCCGAAGGGTCAAACGTGGCAGGTACTGCAGCACCGTCCATGCTCCTATGCAGTCGGGGTGCTTCGCCAGACGCAGAAGAGGCGCCAAGAGGCACATCGTGTAACTCTCGAGGACCTTAGGGGGCATTCGGCGCACCACGAAGGGCTGGTCCACATGCACCAGCGGCGCCACGTCCCAGGTACTGGCCAGCTGCCAAATGCTCTCGTCGTTTGCCAGGTCAGCAGGGGATTTTTCAGATGGCTGTGTCACCTCTCCCTCCACCGGCCTAGCTCTTGCGTTGGCGGCTTGTGGTATACCACCGGCTCCTGTCCTTCTCCCCCGTCCCCTGCCTCCATCGTGGCGAAACTCCTCCTCGTCGCCCAGGGAGATTCCTTCCGATGCATCTGAGCCGGACGGGATAAATTCGCTCCCATTCGGGGAGGTGTCAGAAGTAGCTTCACCCCCATTGGCTGGCTCCAGTGTCCGTTCAGGGCGGTCGTGTCGTTCCCGCCACGTACCCGTTCTCTCGATCGCCGCCTCTCCCCCTAGCAGCGGGGCTCTTGCCCTTCCGGTGGTCCCGCGTCCGCCTCTCCCCCCGGCCCGAGCACCGCGATCCCCTTGGTCCCCTCGCGCTCCTCTCCCCCCGCCTCGGGCTCCTCGACCCGCGGATCGTCCCCCGCGGATCTTTCTCTCTCTATCTCCGCATGTCACGAGCCAGGACCCTCGGTCCCCTCTCCGTGGGGAACGGCCCTCTGGTTGGCTGGGACCCTCGGCCCCCTTCCCCCCATGGGGAACGGCCCTCTGGTTGGCCGGGACCCTCGGTCCCCTTCCCCCAATGGGGAACGGCCCGCTGGCCAGCCAGGACCCTCGGTCCCCTTCCCCCCATGGGGAACGGCCCTCTGGCCAGCCGGGTCCCTCGGTCCCCTTCCCCCCATGGGGAACGGCCCTCTGGCCAGCCGGGACCCTCGGTCCCGTTCCCCCCATGGGGAACGGCCCTCTGGCCAGCCGGGACCCTCGGTCCCGTTCCCCCCATCGGGAACGGCCCTCTGGCCAGCCGGGACCCTCGGTCCCCTTCCCCCCATGGGGAACGGCCCTCTGGCCAGCCGGGACCCTCGGTCCCCTTCCCCCTATGGGGAACGGCCCTCTGGCCAGCCGGGACCCTCGGTCCCCTTCCCCCCATGGGGAACGGCCCTCTGGCCAGCCGGGACCCTCGGTCCCCTTCCCCCCATGGGGAACGGCCCTCTGGCCAGCCGGGACCCTCGGTCCCGTTCCCCATGGGGAACGGCCCTCTGACCAGCCGGTACCCTCGGTCCCCTTCCCCCCATGGGGAACGGCCCTCTGGCCAGCCAGGACCCTCGGTCCCCTTCCCCCCATGGGGAACGGCCCTCTGGCCAGCTGGGACCCTCGGTCCCCTTCCCCCCATGGGGAACGGCCCTCTGGCCAGCCGGGTCCCTCGGTCCCCTTCCCCCCATGGGGAACGGCCCTCTGGCCAGCCGGGACCCTCGGTCCCCTTCCCCCCATGGGGAACGGCCCTGTGGCCAGCCGGGACCCTCAGTCCCCTTCCCATCCTGAAAACGACGCGGGGATGTGCCAAGCGTTGACACTCGCCCGTGCGCAGATATTCCTGCAAACTGCGATCAGTGAAAACCAGAGCAGAGAAGACATATAATTATTGACCAATTTGAAAAAATGGAAACACATACCCGTGTTGCAATAAAAAATGATAATAGCGGTGCAGGCGTCACGCCCGCATTGCCGGTAGAAGTTGCAGCGGTTGATGTAGCGGAGGCGTCCCGTCATGTCCATGGCGTTTTCGCCTTGTCACACCACAATTTTTGCAGGCGCGCCCTTGCAATCTCGTCAAGCTCGACTGTGGCGATATCGTCATCCGTCACATTGGTGGCGATTTCGTTGTCAGTTTCGCTGGTGGCAATCTCGTCAGGCAATTTCGTCGCCAGGCGCGCCACTGGCGGTTTCGTCGTCAGGCGCGCCAGTTGCGCTTTTGTCGTCAGGCGCGCCTATGGCGATTTCGTCTTAGGGGAGCTGGCGATTCGCCTCAGGGGAGCTGGCGACTTCGCCTCAGGGGAGCTGGCGACTTCGTCTCAGGGGAGCTGGCGATTTTGTCTCAAGCGCACCACAGGCGATTTCGTCTCAAGCGCACCATTGGCAATTTTGTCGTAGGCGCGCCTGAGGCGATTTTGTCACTTAGTCCGGGCCCGCTGGGTCACGCGCGCCCACTGGCAGAAAGGTACATCTGTTGGCGCGTATAAGCCCTCTCCTAAAATCGGCGTTCTGGTGCAAAGCGCCATCGCCTTCTATAAAAAGGAGTGCTATGAATGAGAAAGTTGAACGAGAACGCTAGGAGAAAGAGGAACGACGAGGTGGTTGGACGAGAATGGAATGGAACTACAAAGCTCCGAAATGAAGACGTGGGTGGAGGCCAAAAGGCCTCCAACCCTCGTTATGTACTCGGCAAATAGTAATACGCCGTTGCCTTGCTTCGCTACAGTAAGCTGCGCTTTCACAATACACATTTTTAGAGAGTGTTACACACTAAAAAAAAAAAAAAAACCATTTTACTAAATTGTTTGGATGGTTTTGAGACTTCACTTCAGAAAAACACAACATTTCAAGTGCTGAATAGGTGCAAAAAAGCATTGAAAGCAAATTGTGAATTATAAATGGTGTCAGAACCATATTCTAGGTTGTAGTGGGGTTGATAATATGGGGTACAACACTTTTAGGTTTGCATATTTGTACCTACCTCTTTCCTAGTTCATTCATTCCTCGTACAATTCTCACATGGTATAGAGCGGGTTCCCTAGTGGGACCGTTGGGTCCACCACCTAATTTTTTTTTTCTGCCCTGCTCGAAGCGCGCCTCGGGCTCTGCCCTACGGCTGCCCTTAGCGGCCTGCCCTGACGTCGCAGCCCTTAGAGGCCCGCCCTGCCGCCCTTACGCGGCCCTTAGCGGCTCGCCCGCCGTTTCGTCACGGCCCGACCGCCCCTCCCCTTCGTCGCGGCCCTGCGCGGCTAGCCCGCCCCTTCGTCGCGGCCCGCCCGCCCCTTCGTCGCGGCCCTTCGCGGCCCGCCCGCCACTTCGTCGCGGCCCTACACGGCCTTGCCCGCCCCTTCGACGCGGCCCTGCCCGCCCCTTCGAAGCAGCCCTGCCTGCCCCTTCGACGCGGCCCTGCCAGCCCCTTCGACGCGGCCCTGCCCGCCCCTTTCAACACGGCCCTGCCCGCCCCTTCTTCGCAGCCCCTACTCTGCAGCAACAGTCGTCGCCCGCCCCTGCTGCCGCCAGAGCGACCGCAGCTGCCGTCGCCACTGCGGCCCCGCCATCCCGGCCCTGCCCTGGCGCGGCCCTATCCTGCCGCCGAGCCGCGGCCCTATCCTGCCGCCGAGCCGCAGCCCTGCCCTGCCGCCTCATCGCGGCCCTTACCCTGCTGGTGCGCCACGGCCCTGCCCCACCAGTCGTGGCCTCTCCCCTCTCGCCACTGGAAAGAGCACCGCCGCACCCGCACCGCCCTACCGAGCCGTGCCACCCCTGCAAGTCACGCTGCTCCTCCTGCTACTGCTGCTGCCCCTGCAGCCATGGCTAGCCCTAATGTCCTTACCTTCCATGCTGAGGGTCGAGCGGTCGATTTTGAGGTCTGGGTCGATGATCTGCAGCTGTTTCTGCAGTGCGATAGCAAGGACGAAATCTCGCTTTTTTATCTCGCGTCTGGCGCCTCTGCTGCACCTGCTGCTGATGCTGACAGTACGGTTCGCTCGCAGCGGACCACATGCGATGCTGCTGCCCGTCTTGCTATTCGTAGTCACCTGCCGTCTGCTGAGAACGCGCACTTTAGCCAGTACAAGACCTCTAGGACTCTGTACGACGCTGTTGTTGCGCGCTACTCCTCCCCTGCCACTGCTGCCCTTAGCCGCCTCATGCTGCCATACCTGTTCCCTGACCTAGCCGGTTTTGCCACAGTAGCTGACCTCATTACGCACCTCCGCACTAGTGACACCCGCTACCGCGCTGCGCTTCCTGCCGAGTTCTGCGCCGCGAACCCCCCCCCTATGTACATCACTCTCTACTACCTTGTCACCCGGCTCCCTGACTCCCTTCGCTCGGTCAGGGACCACTTCCTCTCCCTTTGCCCCACCACACTCACCATTGATCTCCTCGAGGAGTGCCTCCTAGCAGCCGAGAAGAGTATATTCGCTGTAGGAGCCTCTCGTGGTGACCCTCGTGCCCCTTTCTTTGAGGGGTGCTCCCCCATTCCCCTTTTGCCTTTTGTTGCCTCTGCTACTGCTGTCGACCTCGTTCGCTCCGAGTCGGTCGGCGCCGCGTCTGCTCCTAGTGGGAGGCGCCGCAATGACAGGAGCAAGGGGGGCAAGGGTGCTGGAGGAGATAGTGGGGGCGGCAGTGGTGGCGGTGGAGGCGGCAGAGGCGGTGGGGGTGCAGGTGGGGGTGGTGGCAGGAGTGGGGGTTTCGGAGGCGGCAGTGGAGGTGGAGGCGGCGGAGGCAGGAGAAGTGGGGGTGGAGGTGGCGGCGGCAGAGGCGGCGGTGGGGGTGGCGGCGGCGGTGGTGCTGGTCGAGGTGGCGCTGTGCAGCGGGGAGGCTTTGACGGTGGATAGCGCCAGCAGCAGCAGCGCCCTCGTGAGAACCTGTCGCCCCTGCAGCTTCGTGAGTGGTACGTTGGGCGTGGGAGGTCTGGGGGTGCTGGTCCCTGCACTTACATTCTCCGCACCAGCGACCGCAGTGGGGAGACGTGTGGAGGACCGCATGCCACACTGCGCTGCTTTGGCCGCCTGACTGACGCTTGGCGTACGCAGTTTCCCGACTCCTCTGAGTTCCCTCGATGGGGTGATCTGCTCAAGTCGGGGGTTGCTATCTTTGATCTTGATTATGATGCTATCCTTGCTGCTATGTATGTTGTGTCTATTAGTACTGAGGGTGACTGTTACCTGTGTGTTCCGCCCGACCCGGGCATTGAGGCTGCTGTCAGAATCCCAACCACTAGACCATTGGGATAAAAGGGCTTGTTTCAGTAGCGGGTCAGTACGCCCATAACCCCCCAGGCGAACGCGCCTGTAACCCTCTCCAGGATCAATCGGGCATCCACAGTGCAGATCTACTGACACCCCCCCACACTGGGAGGCCCAGGACTAAGCACAGCGGCAACGGCCTGCATGTGCATACACCGGGAATCGAACCCGAGACCTCTCTGATACCATGTCAAAATCCCAACCACTAGACCATTGGGATAAAAGGGCTTGTTTCAGTAGCGGGTCAGTACGCCCATAACCCCCCAGGCGAACGCGCCTGTAACCCTCTCCAGGATCAATCCGACATCCACAGTGCAGATCTACTGACACCCCTCCACACTGGGAGGCCCAGGACTAAGCACAGCGGCAACGGCCTGCATGTGCATACACTGGGAATCGAACCCGAGACCGCTCTGATACCATGTCAGAATCCCAACCGCTAGACCATTGGGATAAAAGGGCTTGTTTCAGTAGCGGGTAAGTACGCCCATAACCCCCCAGGCGAACGCGCCAGTAACCCTCTCCAGGATCAATCGGGCATCCACAGTGCAGATCTACTGACAGCTACTGCTCTAGGTGCTAGTGAGTCTGCTGCTCCATGTGCTCGGGAGTCTGCTGCCCGAGGTACTGGTGAGTTTGCTCTCTCAATACCGTATCGGCTTAGGCCTTACACACTTTCACCCTTGACTCGGGTGCTTCCCGCTCCTTCTTTCGCGACTGCACCACACTCTCGCCGCTCAGTCGGCCGGTGGCAGTCTCTTTGGCTAACACCCTCTAGGGGTCCGGTCCTTGCGCACTCCTCCACAGTCTTGCGAGTGACCCACTGTTCGTGTACTCGGACGCGCCGTCACCTGGCCACGTTCACTCGTCAGCCTGTGTCGAGCCTATACACCCTATCTACCGTGTCTCCTCCGGTTGCGGAGTCTGGTCAGGTAGCTGCGTCGGGTCAGGTGTTTGCTGCAGCGTCCCGGTTTGGTCCTGAGTCTGCCCCCTGCTCGCGTCGCCTCCTATCTGACCAGACTCTCCTTTGGCACCACCGCCTTGGTCACCCCTCCCTGCCTCGTCTCCGAGGCATGGCCTCCCGTGTCCTTGTCACTGGTCTTCCCTAGTCTCTCCCTCCCCTCCCTCTGGGACCTACCCCTACCTGCGTTCCTTGCGTCGAGGGTCGGCAGCGCGCCGCCCCTCACTCCTCCGAGATTCCTCCCATGGAGGCTCCCTTGCAGACTCTTCACATGGACGTGTGGGGCCCGGCCCGCGTCCGTGGACAGGGTCACAAGCACTACTTTCTGCTGGTCGTTGACGACTACTCGCGTTACACCACAGTCCTCCCCTTGCGCCGCAAGGGTGAGGTCACTGAGGTGCTTATCGACTGGATCCGCGCTGCCCGTCGTCAGCTTAGCGAGAGCTTCGGCTCGGACCTTCCTGTTCTGCGTCTGCACTCTGACAGAGGTGGAGAGATTTCCTCCGACCTTCTGCGAGCCTTTTGTCATGCGGAGGGCATCCGCCAGACGTTCACACTTCCGGCCTCTCC